CATTCACGACAGAACAAGTGCCATGCATTCGGTGCCCGCTGGAACTGTGTTTGTCCCTGGCCATCAGCTCCATCGCCGGCCGTCGTCGCGCTCAATATATCTTCAATGCAATCCCTCCGACCCCTCGCTGCTTGAACCAACCAATCTGCGCGCAGCTCTGGAAAGGTCTCGCCTTTGGATTGAGTGCCTCTGACGTGGGCCCGACGGCGGAAGGCTGCATGAAGCGAGTCGATTTTCAAAATGCATATTTCTCCAATCGGGCTTTGAATCTCAAACGAGACTGCGGCACCCTCCCTCTGAGACCTCCTGGCTCACCACTGTGCGTCTCCACAAACTCCCGAGTCCAATCGTCAAAGAGGCATGGGTGATCAACACTGTCACTTAATATTACCCTGGCGCCATCGTCGGATGCTAACGCCAGGGAGATTCGTGTCGGATATAAGGAATGCTCTTCCACCAAGGTATATTCGACGATGCACGCAGTTGAAACCAAACCTTTGAATGCATCGAGCCGTCGCTGAGTTGTTTGGCATCTCAAAGGGGCGATGTGCTCCCACAGTGTCTCGCTGTCCAGAAGCAAGTCCAAGTCTCTGAAACACCTATTCTCGCCCACCTGGCGCGCGCACTGATCAGGAAACAACTGAGCTAGATCGGCTTCAGCTGCAGATGCCGTGCCCATGCAAACCTTCGCCTCGCGGGCTCTCCTGCGGAATTCACCATCTTCGCCGACGGAAGAAGCGCGGGTGTCAAGTAGCCGCGAGTATGGCACCATGCTCTGGCGAAACACGATGAGACCAATCCCCCAATCAGGCGAAGCAGCAATCAAGTCCAACACTTTGGTAACCGAAGCGCTGAACTCGTCGCGCCTGGTGCCCTGACCATCTGGCCCATGGCCGCGACGTAGGGTGCAAGAGCGCCGCCGTCTGGGCCATGAACTGCGGCTCCTGGTGGTGCTGCGTCTCCTCCTCCCCCCCCCCCTTCCCCCCCCTGCGGCCTCGCCGGGCGCGGCGGCCCCGGGCGCAGGTGCAGGTCCATTGGCACCTCGCCGTCGGCGTGGCGCGCCCGCGCCGCCACCAGGCCTCTGGTTCACCCGCAGCCGCCTCGCGAACTCGGGGAAGCAGTGCGTTAGCGGCCCGTGGATCGACTCCAACATCGCGAACGCGCCGATGCTCTCCTTGCACCTCTTAAGACGGCGTCGGTTGTAAATCGGGACCAGTGCGCTCAAGAAAATCTCAACGATACTGTTGCCAACCATCTCGCCAAGAGCACCCCTGTCGTAGACGCTGCCGTGGGGAAGATACACTTGCACACTTCTATGATCTCGCCAATCACAGTTGGGCAATGCGTGGGCGTGCAACAGCTTCACGGCGCCCCTCGAAACCCCCGTGAAACAGAGGGCTGCAACTTGATGCTTAAATTGTTGAGCACCGTGTGGAGGTCGACCGAAACGAACGTCCAACAGCTCCTTGACCTTCTCCACGACGACCCTGCCCAATCGTATCATGTTAGTGCCCTCGTTCACAACCAGGGCGACATGAATTTGTGCAGTTATCAATATGTCATAAAAGCTGAAAGCTTTCTGCATCCCTACCACAATACTGTGAAACCCACACTTGTTGCGAGTATGACGCCAACCGTTCTTGCCAGGGGGTTGCATCCATCCACGCTCTGATCGATCATTCTGCCCAGCTCTGTCATGGCATATCCCACGGGTTCGGAACCTGAACGACGAGGCCGCATCGCTCACACAACTGCGCAACCTCTCTGCGTACAACAAGCACTCGCCAGAAGTCCTGTCGACAATCTGCGGCATTGTGAGCGTGCTCCCAACGACCGACATGATGAACTCCCCGGGGTCGACAAACATGCCGAACGTGGACTCGCTCTGCAAGACTTTGTTCGGAAAGCGTCCAGAATGCTTGCTGAACGGCCGTGACGGCACAGCATGTGCGATCTGTTGGCCAACAGTGGCGGTCTGCACGATCTGCTGGCCACCAAAAGGCAGTCGAGCGAAGGACGCGAACTCAGCCCTCGCCAGTGCGATGGGAGTTTCGTCGTGGCGGCAAACGTCCTCATACTCGAGCAATTGCAAAAGGCGGCGCGGAGCCTGCAACCGTTGACTCCACGATCTGCCGCTGAAGCCGATCAACGTGGAGTAGGGCACTGGCCAGGCACTGCAAATACGACCCGTAGTTTCTATCGCTCACCTGGGCCAGCTCTGACAGCATGCCCTTTCCCAGCACTCTGCGCCTTTTCTTCGAAGTCTGAAGAAGGCACAGCTCGGCGATCCTGTAGAAGGGCGAGTCCAACTGAACTGTGATGTCTGTGGTGGCCACCAAACTGTACACGTGCCGAAAGTGCTGCAGCAACGGACATCCGACCCGCAAGACACGTCCTGCAGACGAGCCTTGCACCGCCTGCTCAACAGCAGGCTCCACTCTTGCCACAGGGCCACGGCCTACGACTCCTCGAGCCGCGGGCCGCTTCTGAACACCACCCCTGCCCTGGCCACGACCAGACCGTGCAGGCATCGCCGCGCCAGGCGCGCCGACGACGAGACATGGGCCGCTGGGCCGCCCCGCCGCCGAGAAACTTCATTAAGAGACGGTCGTGGAACAAAGTTTAAACCAAAATGGGAACGGATGAAGGATGCAGTCACCCACATGAGAACGACGCAGCGCAATCACACACACACACACACATGAGAGTCATCACCGATGCGCGTGGGCCATGCCATCACCGATGCGATCACCCGCATGCGAGCGATGCAACCACCGATGCATCACCAGAGAGGCGCATGAGAGCGATGCAACCACCGATGCAAACCACCGTTGCATACACCAGCGATGCCATCACTGACGCAACCACCAATGTCAACATCGGCGGCACCTAGAGGCCGAAATCTAAGGAACGCCGTCGAGTGTCGAAGGTCGACGACAATCGACAACAATCGCCAGATCCACGATCGCCTCCTGCTTGAGTTTGCGGGGCGTCAGAAAGAAAGAGGGCCGAAAGGCCAACGTGCGAGGGCGTCAGATGTTTGCCGGCGAGGGCCAAACGGGCAAACCGCCGCGGGCGCCGCTCTTTTGTTTGGTGGGTGCGAGCGAAATGCGCATCGTGGCAAACAGAAGTTGCATGCAAAATGAGGCTCGAAAGCAGTGGCCGGTGGCTACCTTCAGCGTTATAACTTATAATTCCGCGCAGCGCGGAGAGAGCTGCCGAAGGCCAGCCGGCGAGAGCCGAGAAGCCGGGCAGCTGCAACTCGAGGATCGGCCAGATTACAGTCGCTGTCCTTCTCGACAGTGATAGCTGCAAGAGGCGTGGACTCGATCTCTCGATATCTCGATATCTCGATCTTGGGGGGCGGGGCTGGGAGGGGACTCGATATCTGGATATCTCGACACCTCGATATCGGGGGCGGGCCCGGGCGGGGACTCGATATCACGATATCTCGACATCGGGGGCGGGGCCGGGCGGGGACTCGCTATCTCAAGACCTCGACATCTCGATAATTATCGGGGGGGCGGCGGCGTCGGACTTGACATCTCGATATCTCGATATCAGGGGCGGGCTCTGGACACCTCGATATTGCAGCCTGTTGGCATCCACAGGGCTGCAGCCGAAGAGCCCGACGGGGTCCTCCGTATTCATGAGGCGGAGCTCCGGAGAGACCGCGAAGGACCCAAGACGGCCAGAGGCCCTCTCCAGGACAGCCAAGGACCCCGCAACCTGCCCCAGAACCCCATGTGCGCCAAAATTGTCCCTGGCGCAGCTGCGCCGGCTCGACGGCTGTCGGCGGCCTGGCATCATGAGGAAGAGCTCCGGGGACCGCGCGGAGGGCCCAAAACGGCCCGAAGCCCACTCCAAGACGGCCCAGGCCCCCGTAACATGCCCCAGAACCCCATGTGCGCCAATATTTTCCCTGGCGCAACTGCGGGGGCTCGACGGCTGTCGGCGGCCTGGCAGCATGAGGAGGAGCTCCAGGGAGCCCGTGGAGGATCAAAGAGGGCCCGAAGCTCACTCCGAAACGGCCCAGGACCCCGCCATCTGCCCCAGAACACCAAAGTGCGCCAATATTTTCCCTGGCGCAACTGCGCGGGCTTGACGGCTGTCGGCGGCCTGGCATCATGAGGAGGAGCTCCAGGGAGCCCGTGGAGGATCAAAGAGGGCCCGAAGCCCACTCCGAAACGGCCCAGGACCCCGCCATCTGCCCCAGAACCCCAAAGTGCGCCAATATTTTCCCTGGCGCAACTGCGGGGGCTCGACGGCTGTCGGCGGCCCGGCAGCATGAGGAGGAGCTCCAGGGAGCCCGTGGAGGATCAAAGAGGGCCCGAAGCCCACTCCGAAACGGCCCAGGACCCCGCCATCTGCCCCAGAACCCCAAAGTGCGCCAATATTTTCCCTGGCGCAACTGCGCGGGCTCGACGGCTGTCGGCGGCCTGGCAGCATGAGGAGGAGCTCCAGGGAGCCCGTGGAGGATCAAAGAGGGCCCGAAGCCCACTCCGAAACGGCCCAGGACCCCGCCATCTGCCCCAGAACCCCAAAGTGCGCCAATATTTTCCCGGGCGCAACTGCGCGGGCTCGACGGCTGTCGGCGGCCTGGCAGCATGAGGAGGAGCTCCAGGGAGCCCGTGGAGGATCAAAGAGGGCCCGAAGCCCACTCCGAAACGGCCCAGGACCCCGCCATCTGCCCCAGAACCCCAAAGTGCGCCAATATTTTCCCGGGCGCAACTGCGCGGGCTCTGGAGAGACCGTGGAGGGCCCACGACGGCCCGAAATCCCCGAGCGTGTGCGCGCCGAGACATTCCAAGAAGGCCCACGACCGCACGCGCGCTGAGAGGGGAATGCGGATCGTGCTGGTGCTGCTGCTGCTGCTGCTGATGATGTTGCTGCTGCTGCTGCTGCTGCTGCTGCTGCTGCTGCTGCTGCTCCATGTTGGTCGCGTTGCCTCGAAGTCCCCCCTCCGATATCGAGATATCAGAACATCGTGAGCGCACAGCATGGGAAGCAAGAGCGGAGAAGAGAAGAGAAGAGAAGAGAAGAGAAGAGAAGAGAAGAGGTATCGAGATGTCGGGACATCGAGTCCCCGCCCTGCCCCGCCCCGCCAAGAGCGAGACATCGAACTCGCACCCGGACGCTCCTGCTGCAGCGTTGGCCTCGGTCCGAGTCCAGCCTGGGTCCGAGTCCGGCTGGGTCCGAGTCCAGCTGGGTCCGAGTTTTCGGGTCCGAGTTCAGCTCGCCCGAAGAGGCCCCCAAGAGGCTCCCAAGAGGTCCCAAGAGGCCTCCAAGAAGCCCCAAGAGGCCCCCCAGAGGCTCCCACGACTCCCAAAGAGGCCCCCAGGCGGCCCCGCAGACGCCTCAAAACTGCCTCCAACAGGCTCCCGATCAATTCAGTGGGAGGGTGAAGTATCTCTAGTAAGGCGTTTCGCTGGACCAATGCAAGTCTGCGCCACGTTCATGCGGATCTGCCCTTTTCAAAGTGCCAGCGCGGGCAGGCCGTCTGCGGCAGGGCGAGGTAGGACGAAGAGTCAAAACATGCAAGACAACTCGTCCCCAGACGATTCTTTCTACCATTTTCGAATATTCCTCCTGTAGGGTGACAGGCCCGACTTAAGGCTACACCCAAAGCTCTGGACGCCAGACGGTTCTCAGGCGGGCCCGCTCAGAGACCGATAGTTCTCGGAGGGGGAAAATCACACGGACACAACCCATCGGCGACTTCCAGGAGAATGCAGTGGAGGCCAGTCCACAAGAAACACTCTACAAGAAACCCAACCCCGAGACACCAGGATGTCCACGGATTTGTGGTGTGGGAACGTCACGCCGTCCATCGCAAAACCATCGAAACCCAAGAAGTTCAGGGCACCCTGGAGGCAAGCAGGGTGTTTCTTGGCATGGGCCTCAACTGTGAGGAAATACAGGCAGTGGAAAACATATGGGGAACTAGGGAGGATCCGGGGAGTGGTTGCTAGTTCTTTGAGTATCCCTGGGCCCCCTCAAATTCCCCCGAGCCTTCCGTCGTGATTCGTTGCACGACGCGAGGATGCCTGGTCTTCGGGCCCCAGCCCGGGTCTCCGGCGGCCGATCGGGACGAAGAGCGGGCAGCCCCCCGAACACCCTCGGCGAAGCGCAGCTGCAGGAGAGCGCCCCGAGGCAGGAACACCTCCTGGAGCCGACGAAACAACGGCCGAAGACGTCGAGCGACGCAGTCGTCACTTTCCGACGCGCAGGGCGCAGGCTAACATTGACGAGCAAAAAGCACACGCCCCGATCCATAGGGGGGACGGAGGAGGCAATGGGTGCATGTTGTCGCCTCCAAGAAGCCCCAAAAGGCCCCCCAGAGGCGGTTCATGCTGCACGCTGGGCACACGCCGCTGTCGTCTATAAAGAGGCGCACTCGCACATGCTGCTTATGAGCAATCCAGCTGGCATTGGCAAATATCCGCCAATCTCAAAAAACGCCACAATCGACAGAGACTTTCGCCTGGAGGAGGGGGGGCAGGACCGCGGGCACCAATGCTGATAGTGGGGAAACAACGTGCGAGAATCGGAGAAGAGGGGGGGGGCGACGACAGCGTCGCAGAAACACTCTGCACTAAGGTCACGACAGTGAACCACCATGCCACACCGCACACCTGGGCTGTAACTTGGAGCCCCCTGTGAGCTCCCCAAAATCACAATGGTCAGCCGAATGCATCACCTGATCTATTGCGTGCTCCGATTCAGGAAACCCACTGGTTCTCTTGTCCGATCCTCAGGCGCTGCAACGCTGTCAACCGAGACCTCCTTCGCACCACCGCCTTTCAGGGGACCCCAAGAGCCTGCAACCAACACTTTTCCTGGGGGGCCTCTCGCCCTCCCCCTGACCCCCCGGAAAACCTTCGGCCCCGAAGGGTAGCACGTTTGGGGGAGTCTGGGGAGGCGAGAGCTTCCCAGGGCAAAATTTTGGTTGTAGGTTCCTGGGGCCCCTGAGCCTTCGGCTTGCCTCCCACGACGCCGTAGTGCCCCTCCTGGAACGCCATGCGGCAGCCAGCCATCCGCAGCACGCTGGCGTGCATGTTCGCCTCCTGCACTCCTCGGCATACCTGCAAGCCCACCGCAGGACTCCCACAGAAGGCGATCATGGAGCCGCCCGTGGTGGCGCACCTGTCGTGCAGAGTGTCCCTGAGCACGTCCGACATCCTCTTGACCACCCACTCGACAACGTCGCGGCGCTCGAAGCGCACGCAGCTCTCGATAGCCGATCCCTGGATGAGCCTCCGGAGCCTCCGCTCCTCGGCTGGGGTCACGCCCGTGAGGTAGACGTCGAGGCCGAAGAGGAGATCCAGCTGCCAGCGGCTGAACTTCTTGAGCAAGTCCGTCATCATGTCCTCCAACTCCTCGCAATTGGCCGCGAAGCCGTCTCCTCCACGCAACATCCAGAGCACGCGGAACTTCCCGTTCTTGACGAGGTCGTGCTCGACACCCAACTTTGAGCTGGCGTCGCCCATGCGCAGGACCTGACTCGCGGCGTAGATGCGCGCGATGCGCCATAGCGCGAAAGAGCCGCGCAAGAGCAAGGCCATGTGAGAGGGGGCGATGTAGAAGGACGGAACCTCGCCCGCCCATGCGAAGTGGGTGCCGAGCATAAACGCCACTGCCACCACATCAAGCACGTACGCGAATGACCGCTCAAAGATGCGAGGATTCGCCCAGAAGTGGACCCGGTGCACCAAGAAGAACGAGATGCAGACGAGGCTCATGACCTCCATCGCCTTCCACTGGCCGGCATCGACCTTTGGGAACTTGGCATTGAACTCCATTTCGTCCAGGTACTTCCAAGAGAACGTCCAGAAGCCCTGACACATGTCCAGCAGCAGGACGATGTGCGCGATGAAGTCGAACGCGTAGTGGCAGTACGTACGATTCGTGGCCCAAGACATGATCATCGAAGTCTGCGTGCCTCTCGCCCGCATGCAGCGCAGCTTCCACTGGTACTGCAGCATGATGAGCCCCGTGTGGACCACGGCCTCGTTGAGCGCCATGTGCTCAAGCCGAACCGCTTTCTCAGGGTCTTCTTGAATCCCTTGCAGCAGCTCCTTGTTCATGAGCGTCAGCCTGCGATAGCGCTCCCTCATCAACGACATCATGGGCACGATGCCCGTCCCCGTGCCCACTGCGCTGACGCTCACGAAGTTATTTGTATCGAACCCTGGACCAAACGGGCCCATGATGTTCACTCTGCTGATCGTCCTCTTTTCGATGGCGTCGGCCAGCTTCTCGGTCCGCTGACCCTTGTACACCACGATGTAGAACCTGAGCACAGCTTCCTCCGGCGCAGAGCCGATGGAGAACGGGTGGAACGTAATGTCCAAAGAAGGTATCTGGATGTACGCGTACTGGCCAGGAGCGAACTGGAAGTCGACTGGCCTCTTGCACACCAGCGTGAGCATGCTCTTCGTGGAAGTGACCACGGCCTCCTGCACGGGCACGTCGCGCCGCATGGTGAGGAAGCTTCAAGCCCTGTCCCAAAAAATATAAACTAAGCGTCGTGGCGATGAATCGGAAGTCCTGCGACCGATTCTTGCCGACGCGAGTGCCGTCCCGAAACTGGTCGTCCAGGGTGTGCGCAATGGCTAGGCCGAACAAGACGAACACGAAATGGTGCAGCACGTAGAACCATTCGAACGGCATGTGGCGCCGCATAAAGGAGCTGACCATCACGATCACCAGGAAGACGAATAAGCCTAGTCCTGTGATCATGATCTCGCTCTGCATCTTCTCGCAGAAATCGACGGGCTCGAGAGGGTGGCCGAACTGCCCGAGGTGCTGTCGGCAACCGTGCCCGAAGAAGACGAAAAACACGATGGTGGCGAAGATGATGAAGAAGCACGTGATGTATCCCAGGACAATGTGGAAGAACGTCATGTGCTCCAGAGGGACGAAATTTCGAATCCTTGTTCGAGCAGCCAGGGCAAGAAGGTGGCGGCTCATCGTGACAGGCAGCCACACCATCTGCCAAAGGATGGCGTGCTTGAGGCCAAACAACAGCGGCGGAATCAAACGCTTCTTCCAGTAGTTGGGCATTGGCATGCCAGCATCCTCCGGGGCCAGGGCGTCTTTCGCGGGGATTTGATCGGGGAGTCCCTCTTGCTCCCTGAACTTCTTCAGGAAAAAATGGGATCAAGTCAAGAAGGTGATAACGAGATGAACAACAACGAAGAGCTTCCACTGGTAGCTGGTGGCGCACGTCGACAAGAGCGTGCTCGCAAACCCGCTCCGCCGCTCTTTCAGCATCCTCTCGGACAGCTCAAGCTGCCTCCTCTTCAACTCGGCGCGGGCCTGCATCGCGCGGACGCTGAACAACCAGATCTTGCGGATATCCTCGCCGGAGACGTGCTGGCGGGAGAGGTTGCTGCCGGTGGCAAACCAGTGCTTCATGTAGCTTGCCCTCTTCGGTGACAAAGGGGAGGCCGTCGGCGAAGAAGGTGCCTCCCTGGAGCCAGGAGACTCGGGAGAGAACTCCATCGTCCCAGCGTGCGAGGGAGGAGAAGTGGATGCACCGGTGAGGTGTCTGGGAGCAGGATCGACAATGATTTCTTTGACCAATACTTTGCAAAAATCATCGAGCTTTGGCCAGAACCCACAAGGATGGCCTGTTCATGGCTCCAGCACCACAGCGCCGCCTTCGGCAGCGCACTGGGAGGTTCGCCCCCCAGGGTGGGGTGATTGAACCATGCACGCGCCATTCAGCTCTGGCCAAGCTTCAATTTTGAAGAGAGCTGGTTAAACAAATCACATATATTCTTGAACGGTTTGAGATGAACGGCTGTTTGTGTTGTACACGAATTACCACCTGCAAAAGATCCAAGAGTGTATACATCGGTATTTCTCTGTTCCCACGCCCTCTCACTCGTCTTCTCCTCTCTCTCCTGTCCATAGCCCGTCTTCGGCTGGAGACGGGCGGCCCCGCGCCGGCCGCCTGTCCGGCCCGCGGCGAGGCTGGCCTCTGGTGGTGGCGCAGGGGGCGGCGGGTGCTGGCGCTGGGCCTCGGGTGGCGCGCCCGGCGCGGGAGGATGCCGGCCAAGCGGGGCCGCCCGACCCGAGAGGAGAGAGCCGCGGCAAAGCCGGGCGCGCTCGACGCGCGGCCGACCGTGGCCGCGGGGGTCCTGGTGACCTCGGGGGCGGCAAAGAGGGGGGTGTCCAAGAGGGGGGGGTGCAAATCATGACTGGCGGCATGTGCGCGACCCAGCGGGGGGCCAGGGACGTAATGAAATAAGAAGAGGCGCCATGAAATCTGGGGAAATATCATGGCCCACGCCATGATATCCACCCCCCACTAGTCATCACCCCCCTCTTTTCCGCCCCCGATGGTGACCAGGCTGCGCGGCGGAGGCCCGGAACTGCTGGCCAGCCGGCGCAACCGGGGCGCGGCGTGCCCACGGGAGTTCCCCCAAGGGGCGGCCCGACTTCGCGGAGGGGAGCCCGGGCCGCCTCGAATTGTGAAAAAATCAAGGCGGGCATATTCTCGCTGGTTTCGGCCTCGGGGGGCGGGCGAATGGGTCCAGACCTCGGGGGTCGACGTCACGAACAAGTCATGACATCGGGGGTCTGGGAGCGAGCTGGGCTGTGCCTTCGGGGGGCATGCCGAGGAGGCCGGCCTGGCTGTGTCGCTGCCAGCCCGCGGGTGCCAAAAGGTGGGGGTGGACAAGTACCCGACCAAGTCCGGACCTAGGGAGGTCCACTGGTTCCACCACCCCTTGCCGGCCGGCGAAGAGACCTGGGGCCGCCGCGAGCCGCGGACGCGCGAGGTCGCGTGGTTCACCGCGGAGGCGCTGGCGGGCCTGCGCCTGAAGGTTGGGCGCCCGAATTATCCGGGGTAACTCGGGCCCGGGGTAACTCGGGCTTGGATTCCCGAAAAAAGGAATCCGAGTTGCCCCTGACCCGAGTTACCCCTGATGATTCGGGGCTCTGGACGCCCGAATTATCCGGGGTAACTCGGGTCCGGGGTAACTCGGGTTCGGAATCCCGAAAAACGAACCCGAGTTAGCCCTGACCCGAGTTACCCCTGATGATTCGGGGCTCTGATGAAGGGCTCCTTCACGCGTTTCGCGAAGGAGGCGCTTCGCAGGGGCTGGCCGCGCCCGAGGCTGATGACGACGTGCAGGAGCAGCGCGCTGGCCCCCGCGGCCAAGTCGCGGCCCGCGTCGGCTCGGGTGGACCCTCGGTGGCTGCGGGACCTGGAGATTGTGAGCGAGCTGCTCGGGTCCCTCCCAGGGGTGGACGTCGGCGACGTCTGCATTCGAGCCGCGTTCCAGGAAGTCGAGTCCGCGGGCTTGGACCCGCGCGGAGGGCTCGGAGGCGCGTCGCCAAAAGCCGCGCGCGCTTGCGCCCAAAGGCAGTGCCCCGGCTCCGCCGGCCCGCACGAAGGCCGCGGCGGCCAAGGCGTCCGTCGCCCCCCGGGGCGCCCAGCGGCGCCTGCTAGGATGGCTGAGAAAATGGTTGTAGGTTATGAGGTATAAGCTACGGTATCTTGCCAATAAACTGCAATAGCCCTACTTGTATGCATTGTTAAATGTTCATGACAGTTACAGGATATGTAGCAGTGTGCTGGCAAGTAGCGTCGCGCATTGAGCGACAATGGCGACCACGGCCACACCTAGTTATACCTAGTTACTCCGAATTACACCTAGTTGCACGTAGTTATACGCAGTTAGATCCAGTTACACCTAGTTACACCTAGTTACACCTAGTTACACCTAGTTGCACGCAGTTACGCCTAGTTACCCCAAGTTACACCTAGTTGCACGCATTTACACTTAGTTTCACGTAGTTACAAGTCGATTATATCTGAGGGCAGCCCCGATGCGGCAAAACGCCGCGAGAAAATTACATGTAGATACACATGCAAACGGCGCGGAGAGAAATTACGTACAAGACTAACCTTTGGTACGGAAATCCCCTCGTCTTCTCTGGCGCGGCCGACGACGATGACGACGACAACGACGATCAAGCCGCCGCCGCCGACGAAATCGACGACGACCCTGACGACCAAGATGACGACGAAGATGACGACGACCAAGACGACCAAGACGACCAAGACGACGACGAAGACGACGACGACGCTCGGTTTTCGACTTCCGGACGCTCCAAGACAGCCAAAAAGGTCGCCCCAAGAAGCCCGAAACTGAGTACCCCTGAGTGTAGCTGAGAGTACCGAATGTAACTGAGTGTAGCTGAGTATGACTGAATTTAACTGAATGTACCGGAATCCGCTCGCGCCGACGCCAGCTGCGGCCACAGTGGTAGTTCGGGCCCCAGCGAGCCAGCTTGATGGCCCCAGACTTTCCCATGTAAGCAACAGGGGGCGAGCACTGGAAGGATCATTTCATTTGTTTAGATAACTTTTTAAAATAAAACATGTTACGACTGTTCGCTCCGATCTGCTCACGTGCCAATCAATACGTATATCCCAAGCCCTCGTCGTCTTCGATCGCATCTCCTTAGGGGTATATCGCCCATGGCGGGCGGGTCGGGAAGGCGGGACCAGGCGACCAGGTAGAGCAGGCGGGCTGCTGAAGCGTGGGTCCTGCATGAATCGCTCGGAAATATCGAACGATAGCGCGATTTCCAATTCAATCACGAGAGAAGCCAAATCGAGAGCGTGATTGTTGAGCGCCGAAGGCGCATCGTCCGAATAAATTCCGCGGCGGTCCCATGCGAGAGCGCGACTCGCACACAAATGGTGAAGAAATCTGGCGCGAGAGCGAGGGAAACAAATGTGAGACACTATCAAGCGGGAGCCATTGTTGTTGCAAACGGGAGGCCAAAACCACAATTGAAGAGGATGACTTTCCGTGATAAAGAACCGGGTGCGAGCCCCAGGCGGGGCACGGCATATGAAAAAAAAGGTCACCAGAAGGTGAATTAACAATAATTATTCTCAGGAACAAAACTTCAATAATAATTTCAATATGTTCGCTCCGATCTGCTCACGTGCCATCCAACACCTAGATCCCAAACCCCCGGTACCCACCCTCTTCTTCTTCCGTCGTGCCCCATTTGGAAAAGATCGTCCTTTCCTGCCACGCGCATTTAGCGCAGGTCCCTAAGACAAGGGAAGAGAAGACGGGTGGAATGGAGAGGGACACGGATGGAGCACGAAAGCAATTAACAGCATTAGGGCAAGGAGCAAAAAATTCGCCGGCCCAACGGGCCAGAGGCGTGCTAAGGTCTCCGGTAACTGGTTAACAGTATCTCTAGTTCGCGCGCGCGGGGCGGCCCCTGGGGGTCCCCGGACGAAAAGTACCCCGGGCGATCCCCGACCGATCCCCGGGAGACTCCCCCAGAGCGCTCCAGGAGCGCTCCAGGAGCGCACCAACAGGGCTCCGAGACGTCCCCGAAACCTCAAGACGGGTCCAGATGCCCCCAAGAGGCTCCCAAGATGGTACACAAGGGTTCCGAGATGCCACATGATCGCTCCAAGACGCCCAAGATGGCCCCCAGACGCCCCAAGAGGCCTCCAAGAGCACTCCCAAAAGGGCCCCAAGAAGCAAAATTCATAGCTTTTCCTTAGGTTTTTGAGAGATTTTGGAGCTTCCACCTTTTCGGCTTCCCGACGCCCCAAGACGGCCCAAGAGGCCCCCAAGATCGCCCCAAGAGGGCCCAAGAGGCCCCCAAGAGGGCCCCAAGATGGCCCAAGAGGGCTCGAAGACGGCCCAAGAAGCCTCCAAGACGGTCCAAGAGGGCCCCAAGAACGCCCCCAAGGGGGCCCCAGAGAGGGAACACGAAACAACATGTCGAGCCCTCGGCCCTAAGAAGCCCCCACGAGGCCCCAAGAGGCCCCTAAGAGGCCCCAAGAGGCCCCCACGAGGCCCTCAGGAGGCCCCCAAGAGTCCCCCAAGCGGCCCCAGGAGGCCCCCCAAATGCCCCCCCGAGCGCCCCAGGAGTCCCCCAAGCGGCCCCAGGAACCCCCAAAGCGCCGCATTGACACCAGGCCCTCGGGCAAACGGCAGACATGAGACTGTATGGGCCGGCGGAATGAGCGGAGCGATTAATAACTGATATAACCAGACGGGCAGATCGGGCGGGCAGACGAACAGGTGGGCAGACCCATGGCGGGCAGGTCGGGAAGGCGGGACCAGGCGACCAGGTCGAGCACGCGGGCTGCTGAAGCGTGGGTTTTGCATGAATCGCAAGGAAATATCGAGCAAGAGTGCGATTCCCAAGTCAACCACGAGAGAAACCAAAGCGAAAGCGTGATTCCTGAGCGCCGACGGCGCATCGTTTGAATAAACCGCGAGGGAGTCCCACGCGAGCGCGAGACTCGTACAGAATTGTTAGGAAGTCCCGCGCGAGAACACGATTTGGGAATATATTGTGAGAGAGCATCTAGCGGGAACCGTTGTTATTGTAGCGTGGTGGCCGGGGGCGCTGTTTGATGCTCAACATTCCCCTGATACAAAATAGGGCGCAGACCCCGGGAGGGGCACTTCAATTGGAAAAAAAACAATGTGCACCTGGCGGGG